ATTTTGTTTCTTCTTAAACTTTTAAAACTTTTTCCTTAATTTTAGCTGTTTAAAATCCACCTGCCATTTTATTTGAAATGTGGCATGAGTTAAGAATTTGATCTGTTTTTCCCCTCAATGATAGAAGTTGTCCCAACAAAGGGATGGACAGTTGTCCTAATATCAGGTTGATGAATAATCAGTTCTCCAATTATTTGAAATGTCACATTGATTATATACTCTTCCTCATATATGCATTGATCCATTTCTGGACTCTCTGTTCTGTTGATCAATTTGGTCATTTCTCTATTAGTGCCAACTTTAGATAGAGTATTCTGATATTGGCCAGGCACAGTGGCTCAAGCCTATAATCCCAGCACTTTGGGAGGCTGAGGCGGGCGGATCACCTGAGATCGGGAGTTCGAGACCAGCCTGACCAACAGGGAGAAACCCCAACTCAATTAAAAATACAAAATTAGCTGGGCATGGTGGCAGGCACCTGTAAGCCCAGCTACTCAGGAGACTGAAGCAGGAGAATCACTTGAACCTGGGAGGCGGAGGTTGCAGTGAGCCGAGATCATGCCATTACACGTCAGCCTCGGCAACAAGAGCAAAACATCTCAAAAAAAGAGAATATTCTGACATCTGGCTGGGCACAATGACTCCATGCCTGTAATCCCAGTACTTTGGGAGGCTGAGATGGCCAAATCACTTGAGGCCAGGAGTTTGAAACCAGCCTGGCCAACATGGTGAAACCCTGTCGCTACTAAAATACAAAAACTAGCCTGATGTAGTGGTGTGTGCCTGTAATCCCAGCTACTCCAGAAGCTGAGGCACAAGAACTGCTTGAACCCAGGAGGCGGAGGTGCAATGAGCTGAATTGTGCTACTGCACTCCAGCCTGGGTGACAGAGCAAGACTCAGTCTCAAAAAAAAAAAAAAAAAAAAAAAAAGAATATTCTAATACCTGTAAGACAACTGATCACCTCCTTTTTCAACATCTTGGCTATACTTATCCATTTTCTCTTCCAGATAAATGCTGGAATCAACCTGTCAAGAAAAAAAGAGAATCCAGTTGGAATTTTGATTAAAGTTACAATAAATTTATAGATTAATTTGAGACCAATTGAGTTGACTTCTCATCTAGAGACATGGTATGTTTTTACATTTATTTAGGCTTTTTTTTTTCTTTAGCAAAGTTTCCTGGTTTTTCTCATATTAATTTTACACATTTCTTGCTAAGTAAATTAATCAATCAACTCACTTAACAATTCTTTGTCTTAGGCTCACAGTATGCAGCAGTGAACAAGACAAGTTCCTTGTTCTCATGAAGCCTATATTCTAATTGGGACAAATAAACAAACAAAAAAGATCAGCTAATGAGAAGTCCTCTGCAGAGAATTAAAATAAGGTTATGTGATAGAGAGATTATTGGGTGGCTACTTCAGATTGGATGGTTAGGAAAGTCCCTTAATATTTCGACTGAGATCTGAGTAGCAAGAAGAATTCAGCTTTGTAAAGCTGCTGGGAGTGGGGGCAGCATTCCAAGAAGAGGGACCTGCTATCACTAAGTCTCCTAATGAGTTTGGTATTTTCTGTTCAAGGAACAGAAAAAAGGCCAGTGTGGCTAGAGATTAGTGGTGAAGGGGAAAGTGTTATGAAAAAATGTCAGACAAACATTTAGGGGAGAAACAGATGATTCAGGCCTTCATAAGGAGTTTGCATATCATTTTATTTTTTTGAGACAAAGTCTTTCTTGCCCAGGCTTCAGTGTAGTGGCATGATCTCAGCTCACTGCAGCTTCTGCCTCTGGGTTTGGGTGATTCTCCTGCCTCAGCCTCCCCCAAGTAGCTGGAACTTCAGGTGTGCCACAAGGCCTGGCTAATTTTTGCATTTTTAGTAGAGAGAGGTTTAGCCATGTTAGCCAGGCTGCTCTCCAACTCTTGGCCTCAAGCGATCTGCCCACCTTGGTCTCCCAAAGTGCTGGAATTACAGGTGTCAGCCACCATGCCTGCCCCATACTATTTTAAATGTGATGGAAGCCATGAATGTATTGAGTAAAAGAATGACTTGATCTGATTTATGGTTTTTGAAAGATTGATATAGTAGCTGGAGGAAAAAGGATCACAGAGGGCCAAGACTAAAAGAAAGATTTGTGAGGAGGCTAGTGTAGTGGTTCAGGTAAGAGGCAATAGTGGCCAGGTATGGTGGTGGCTCACGCCTGTAGTCCCAGCTACTAGGGAGGCCAAGGCACGAGAATTCCTTGATCCCGGGAGGCGGAGGTTGCAGTTAGCTGAAATCATGCCACTGCACTCCAGCCTGGGGGATGGAGGGAGATTCTGTCTCCAAAAAAAAAAAAAAGAGAGAGAGAGAGAAAGAGAGAAACCAGAACATGTTTACACAAATGGAAACGACCCAGAAGAGGAGAAATTAGTCTGGGTGTGGTGGCACATGCCTTAATCTCAGGTACTCTGGGGGATAAAGTTGGAGAAATTACTTGAGGTCAGCAGTTTGAGGCTGCAGTGGGCTATAACTGAACCTGTGAATAATCACTGCACTCCAGCCTGGGCATCATAGCAAGTCACTGTCTCTAAAATTTAAAAAGAGAGAGGAAGGCGAGACTGATGAGGCAGGAGCAAGGAGGATCATTGTTGGAGCAGTAAAGCTCTTGAAAAGGAGAGAGTATGGAAGATAAGGACAATATCTTGAGAAATAAAGTGGACGACAAGTGACATGAACAGTGGAAGAAAGGGAGACAAGTGGGCTATGAAAAATGACAGGGAAGATACCAGGGATCAGTAGGTGACAGCATCTCGGAGTAGTGGCAGTCTGCATGAACTTTAAAAGAACTTGGGTTTCTGAAGGAATAAGGAAGAGAAGTGGTTTGGAGGAAATATGAGGAGTGGGCCATAAGATAAGAATACCTGTGAGAGGAAAACAAACTCCTGTAGTTGAAAAGTTACTAGGGAGGTAGTTTTGCCAAGTGTTAAACCGGGTTTCAGTTGGAATGGGAAGTTGATGGGAACATTTACAGAAAAGGCTAAGAAGAAAAGGGAAGTGGCTGATGGCAGATGTCGAAATCAAAAGTGTGAAGTGAAATGGTTAGGATGTTTGAAGAGTGGGACACCGAATCAGAGTAGCTGAAGCAGAGAGTAGCATGGAGATACTAGAGCAATAAACGGGTTGCGCAGATGCTATCGGTTGTGATTGAGGTGGAGAGGATTATAAAGCATGATGGGATTATCTTTTGGTAATCTCCTGGGTCAAAGGCGGTGAACAGTAAGAGGAATAATACAGAGCTACACAAACCGTTCTTGTTGCAGGTCTTGTGGTATGGAGGCTGCTGCTAATGTCTCATTTAGGGTTTTTGTATTCCTCGTTATAAAACAGGGTCTGTAGGTTTCCTTTTAGTGTTCACAATGCTTCGGTTTTATTAACAGGGTTATGATAATCTCTCCAAACAAGTTGTGATTTTTTTTTTTTTCCAAGCGTTTCTATGCCCTGGAACCATCTGGTCTAGTGCTTTTTGGGGGCAATGGATATCTTCGATTATATTTATTTTTATTTAGTTGATCTATTCAGATTTTCTACATTTTCTTGAGCGGATTTTGCTTATTTATATTTTTATTGGTATAAAGATTTTTTTTTTCTATTTGCATTTCTTGTGCCAACTCCATGTACATTCTCCCCATTCCCATTTCCATACGGTTTTCAGGCCATTTGAAAATCTCAAAGGTTGTACAGGAAAGGACAAAGGTTGATGAAGTGACCGAAAACGGGAAAAGTGAACGTTGAAGTGATTCAACTACAAAACGGATGCTACTAAAGGTCTTCCCCGCTCTGCGGCTGAACTCCGTGGCCATCCGTGCAAAGGAAGGTTTTAGCGCTGGGATTGTGACCGGCTCGGTGAAGAGAAGGGATGATCACCAAACCGTTAGAGCACTGGCGCTCTTGGCAGTTTTTTTTTTGTTTGTTTGTTTTTGTTTTTTGAGACGGAGTTTCGCTCTTGTTACCCAGGCTGGAGCGCAATGGCGCGATCTCGGCTCACCGCAACCTCCGCCTCCTGGGTTCAGGCAATTCTCCTGCCTCAGCCTCCTGAGTAGCTGGGATTACAGGCACGCGCCACCATGCCCAGCTAATTTTTTGTATTTTTAGTAGAGACGGGGTTTCACCATGTTGACCAGGATGGTCTCGATCTCTCGACCTCGAGATCCACCCGCCTCGGCCTCCCAAAGTGCTGGGATGACAGGCGTGAGCCACCGCGCCCGGCCTGTGAGTTATTTTCAAGGGGTAACTTGGAGCGATACCGCAGGAATACAACGCCGTATCCACAGCTGGTCGGAACGAGCACTGCCTTTAACAAAAGCTGAAAAGACCCGCTAGGAATTAGCCGGCATCCAGCCCTCCTCCGCCTCTGACATACCTAGCTGCGTGAACCGAGACGGCACGGCCGACGGTGGAAATTTCCCAGGTGCTTTTTAAACACCAGAATGGGACGACCTCCCTCCTCCATTCCCAGTCGGAACCTCCCACCCAGCTCCCGCTCAAGGGCGCCGCACTTGCTCCGGCCAGTTCACAGTCGCCCTTCGGAACGGAGGTTTCCCGCCATTTCGCTTAGCAGCGGAGGGTGGACCGTTCTCTCTCCCTTCTTCACCCGCCAGGGGCCCGAGCCCACCCCACCTTCTCCGCAAGGCGAGCAGAGGGACGCCAAGGCCAGCAGGCTGCACTAAGAATCCCGGACCGAGCCAAAAGGCGACACAGACCAAGCCTTGCTCGGGAAACGCTCAGCAAACTGCAGACAACCCTGAGGGCGCAAGAGACCGAGGCACCGGGGCAAGCGATCTGGGGGATGCGCGGGCCCGGCGCCGGCTGGGGGAGGTGGGAGCACGGCCGTCGCGGGCGGGAGCGAAGGCGGGTATGAAGGGCGGGCTCGCTCCACTCGACTCGGGATTGGTCGGACTCAGAGAGCCGAGTGACGTCAGCGGGGGAGAACGCCTGATTTGTGTGGCGGGCGCGGGCGGGCGGGGGAAGCTCAGTGCGCAGGCGCAGCTCCTCGGCTCCGCTAGCCCCGGCGGTCCGGCCCAGCTCTCGCGGACAAGTCCGGACATTGCGCGCCCCCGGCCTCTGGGACCGCCCCCTCCCAGCTCTCGGCGTCGTCGAAGATAAACAATAGTTGGCCGGCGAGCGCGCGGTGTGTCTCCCGCCGCCGGATTCGGCGGGCTGCGTGGGACCGGCGGGATCCCGGCCAGCCGGCCATGGCGGGGCTGTACTCCCTGGGAGTGAGCGTCTTCTCCGACCAGGGCGGGAGGAAGTACATGGAGGACGTTACTCAAATCGTTGTGGAACCCGAACCGACGGCGGAAGAAAAGCCCTTGCCGCGGCGGTCGCTGTCTCAGCCATTGCTTCCGCGGCCGTCGCCCCCCGCTCCTCCCGGCGGCGAAGTCTCGGGGACAGGCCCAGCGGTGGCAGCCCGAGAGGCTCGCGACCCTCTCCCGGCCGCCGGGGCCTCGCCGGCGCCTGGCCGCCGCTGCCGCCGCCGTTCCTCCGTGGCCTTTTTCGCCGTGTGCGACGGGCACGGCGGGCGGGAGGCGGCACAGTTTGCCGGGGAGCACTTGTGGGGTTTCATCAAGAAGCAGAAGGGTTTCACTTCGTCCGAGCCGGCGAAGGTGTGCGCTGCCATCCGCAAAGGCTTTCTCGCTTGTCACCTGGCCATGTGGAAGAAACTGGGTAAGTTCCCTGGCTTGTTTGGCGCCCGCCCCTTTTTCCAGGCAGCGCGGGGCTTTTATGGCAGCGGCCCCGCGTGAGCCCCCGGCACCCGGAGCGCATCCGAAGTGCGTGGATGGAAGTGACTGCTCTAAACGGTCGAATAGCGCTTTGCGGGGTGGGGGTCCCGGCACACCAACTGGCCCTGGGGAAGATAGGATTGCTGTCTCCCTGCAACCTCCTCTTGCTTTATTTCGATCCTCCAGGGATCCACGGGAAGCAGTCCTCTCCCTTCGCCGCTTCACTTTGGTGGCAACCAGCGAAAACGTGTTTGAAACCTGGCGCCAGATGTTGGCCAAAAGATAAATTGATGTTGCTACCTGGGCCAGGCGAAGGAAAAATTGGGAGTGTTTCCTTAGAATCTGTCATCATTCTGCTCCTGGAAGTCTTGTCCCTCTCGGTTGCCTCCTACCGGTGGTGTCAGTTCTCCACATTGACCCGGGATAGCTGGGGGTTGGCTGGTGGAGTAAAGCGTGAGCTAATTTGGAAGGGCTGGAGTGTCATCATCCGGCAATTTAAAATTTTGGAAGGAATTCCGTTGTAGTGATGGTTAGATATTTTTAGGATCATCAACGTGTACTGCTTATGAAAAATAAAAGCGCGGAACGTGTTGTTACCTCTTACAGTGGCCCCGTATTAAGGGTGTGCGTTCAATTCTGCTTGAGCTTTCTTTTTGGAAATTGCCTTAGGTGATTGCTTTCAGATAGTTCTCAACAGTTCGTACTTTAAAAGTACTTATAAATTGTAAATGCCCGTCAAAATAGGAAAAGGCAAGGAATTACTGTATACTGGGAGGAAATAAAGGCCTTAAGAGTCTTAAAAATTTCGGTGTAGTTGTAGTTTCATCTGAGTTTTAAATGTTTGTAAACTGGGCAGGATTTCTGTTCCCAGCAGTTACAGAATCATCTTACAGGTTTATAGTTGCTTATCTATTGCAGTGAATAAATAGCATGCATCTTTGTTAAAGCAAAGAAAATACTCTCCAGTGGTGTGAAAAAAACCTTCTTGTTTATGACAGCACAATAAATTTGCTTTATTTTCAGCAGAGGGATGGAGACAGAGAGAAAAGAGTTAAAGTCTTAGCAAATACAGAACATTTTTAGAAAGGTATTGTCATAGAGTTGTAGATTAGCCGATTTCAAAGAATGTTTTCCATTTGCTTGGCTTTCTGCCAAGAATTAGTTGATTGACTCAAAGATCAGCCACTAGGCTTGTTGGAGGCGTTTCCCATTCAGTCCCAGGGGCCCCTCTTTATGGATGTATTTTGGTTTTTTGTAGGCACCATAGAACTGAAAGCACTGTAGTATATTGTAAAAATATGTCATATCATTGACTGCAGGGCAACGAGAAGTCGACAGCAGGACAAGAGAGGAAGATGAGACACAAAGAACTACTTAGAGTCTTGTTTATTTTACAGTATACTTGGAGCAACATGAATTTGCCATGTTTGAGCTTTAAGGTTAAAAAAACTTTAAGGCATAAACTCCGTTACATGAGCATTTAATTTGATTTAATTTTTTTTTTTTTTTTTAAAGAGACTGACTGGGGCGAGGGATGTGTGTGGGCAGTCTCTTTTTGTTGCCCAGGCAGGGCAACAAGCGATCCTGGGCTTAAGCGATCCTCCCGCCTCGGCCTCTGAAAGTGCTGGAATTACAGGTGTGAGCCAGTGCTGGACCCACAGGAGCATTTTTTTAATAAAACGGGGACCATGTTGTTAAATGCAAATATGTATGGTTTTGTTGTACATACACAGACTTTTCGAATTAAGCTTTCACTCTTAACGATGCATAGAACCTTACACTCCAGAAAAATGTTTAAGTTTATTTTGTACCACAGCTAGACCTCAGACTTCGTCCTCAAAACTTGGGGAAAAAAAAGTAAGCTAATTATTTTGGGGTCTTTTTTTTTTTTTTTTTTTTGAGACGGAGTTTCGCTCTTGTTACCCAGGCTGGAGTGCAATGGCGCGATCTCGGCTCACCGCAACCTCTGCCTCCTGGGTTCAGGCAATTCTCCTGCCTCAGCCTCCTGAGTAGCTGGGATTATAGGCACGCGCCACCATGCCCAGCTCATTTTTTGTATTTTTAGTAGAGACGGGGTTTCACTATGTTGACCAGGATGGTCTCAATCTCTCGACCTCGTGATCCACCCGCCTCGGCCTCCCAAAGTGCTGGGATTAAGGCCACCGCGCCTGGCCATATTTTGGGAGTCTTGACAAAGGAAATGAGGGTAAAATTTTTTTTTTTTTAAGTCACAGGGTTGAGAAAGACACAAAAAAAATTGTATTTAGTCACAAATTCTTGGATGGCTTCACATTTTCTATAAAATAAACTGTAGTTTATTTTTATTTTTATTTTTATTTAAACCGGGCGCGGTGGCTCAAGCCTGTAATCCCAGCACTTTGGGAGGACGAGGCTGGTGGATCATGAGGTCAAGAGATCGAGACCATCCTGGTCAACAGGATGAAACCCCGTCCCTACTAAAAATACAAAAAATTAGCTGGGCATGGTGGCGCTTGCCTGTAATCCCAGCTACTCAGGAGGCTGAGGCAGGAGAATTGCCTGAACCCAGGAGGCGGGTGGTTGCGGTGAGCCGAGATCGCGCCATTGCACTCCAGTCTGGGTAACAAGAGCGAAACTCTGTCTCAAAAAAAAAAATAAATAAATAAAATAAAATAAACTGTAGTTTGTAATTTGCAGGCCAACCCCTTTCATGTCCAAATTCAGCCTCTCTAGTAAATTATATCTGTTAACGTGAATTTCCATTACATTCCTCACCTTTTTTCAGGGAACATGTAAGTACCCCATGAATTTCCATTACATTCCTCACGTTTTTTCAGGGAACATGTAAGTACCCCATTTCCATTTTCTTGGCTTCTGGTTCTCACCCCGTGCCCAACAAGGAAAATTCAAACAAAAATATATCCATCATGTAGATTCCCAGTCAGTATGTTTTCTTCTGTGAAGACGTCTTTCTTTTGGAATTGAGCATCCTTTTTTCTAATTGTGTAGTGCTCATTATCCTTTTTTTTAATTGTGTAGTGCTCATTAGACTGTAGTAGTAGTTCTCGAACTTTTTGCTCTCAGAACCCTTCATACTCTTAAATTATTGAGGACCCCAAAGAGTTTTTGTTTATGTGGGCTACATCTTCCTATATTTACTATATGAGAAATTTAAACTTAGAAATTTTTTTTTTTTTTTTTTTTTTTGAGACTGAGTTTCGCCCTTGTTACCCAGGCTGGAGTGCAATGGCGCGATCTCGGCTCACCGCAACCTCCGCCTCCTGGACTCAGGCAATTCTCCTGCCTCAGCCTCCTGAGTAGCTGGGATTACAGGCACGTGCCACCATGCCCAGCTAATTTTTTGCACTTTTAGTAGAGACGGGGTTTCACCATGTTGACCAGGATGGTCTCGATCTCTTGACCTCGTGATCCACCCGCCTCGGCCTCCCAAAGTGCTGGGATTACAGGCTTGAGCCACCGCGCCGGGCTAGAAAATTTTTAAAAATTTCTTCAAAAACAAATATATGTTTTCTCTCTCTCTGTCTCTCTCTCTCTCTCTCTCAAGAAAAACCACTTTTTTACCCAAATAAGAAATAGTGGTGGGAGAAATGGCATTGTTTTACATTTTTGAAAACCTCTTTAAATATCTAGCTTAATAGAAGACAGCTGAATTCTCATACCCACTTCTGCACTCAGTCTGCTATGCCATTTGAAGTGTCTAAAGAAAAAGCAGCCCCACTTGCATATGTAGTAGGAAAAAGGAAAAATATTTGTCTCTTCAGATAATTGTGGATATTCTGCACAAAAGTGGTAGTTTTTTTGTTTTTTGTTTTTTTCCTCCTCAGAGGAAGGTAGAAGAAAAGTAGTTTCTTAAAGTTAGTTGAATTGGAATTTGAAACCTTAGTAATGAATTTTGTACTCTTACATTAAGATCCATTGGTTTGGTTTGTACTTTGAATTAATCTTCTCTGTGATTTTGTGACATAGTGCATTAGTCATTTGGAAAAATAATGCTTCACTCAGTTAAGAACATCTTCTGAATAGTGACACATTTCATTATACAATATCAAAGAAAATCATGTTTGTTAATATCAGTGATCTCATCAGAAAAGTCTTTAAATATTGAGAAGCTATCTAGTTTTACGTATACATTTTCCAAAATGTATTTTTCAAGCAGCAATTAGAAATGTATTATTGACAACAAATACGGTCAATTTTTCTTGAATTGAAAAGCTCACTTTGTTCATGTTCAAATGCCCAATTCTTACAATAACACAGTTTATCAGTCTCAAGGAAAAATGATGGACCATGAAAAATGTGGCTAGTTCATTACATGACTCAGACAATCACAGGTGCTTTTCCTCTTATCAGCCCTAGTATGTAATAAAAGGCTGTTGTATATAGTCTCCTTTTAGTCATACAGAATATTAAAAACATGTACAGCCTGGGGAACATGGTGAGACCCTGTTGCCGCAAAAAATAAAAAATTAGCTTGGCATGGTAGCATATGCCTGTAGTCTCTGCCACTCAGGAGGCTGAGATGGAAGAATCGCTTGAGCCTGGGAGGTTGGGTTACAGTGAGCCATGATGGAGCCCCTGCATTCAGCCTGGGCAACAGAAAAAGTGTGTATTCATGGGTTGAGATTTAATAAAATTAGTTTTTATTGTGTCATCAAGCATATTTTTTTATTTTTTGAGACAGATTCTCACTGTGTTGCCCAGGCTAAGGTGCAGTGGCATGATTTGGGCTCACCTTCCCAGGTTTAGCCTCCTGAATAGCTGGGACAACAGGCGTGTGCCATCATACCCAGCTAATTTTTGTATTTTTTAAGTGGAGATGGGGACAGGCTTTCGCCGTGTTGGCCAGGCTGGTCTCAAGCTCCTGATCTCAAGTGATCCATCTGCCTCGTCCTCCCACAGGCCTGAGCCACCAAGCCTAGCCAGGAATATTCTTAAGTGAAACTA